AAAGCCCTGGCGGGCCGGGCCCGGCTCTCCGCGTAGCGCGGGTGTCGCGCCTAGAGAGAGGGTGGCTGCGCTTGCGCGAACACCTGCCTCTTCGTTGCATCCTTAATTATTCTCAAGCGAAGGCTTATCTGCTGACTATTTTTAAAAGCAACCCTGCAGTCGGACAGAAAGGCGTTCGGCCATCCGCGCGCACCCAGCCGGCTTTGGGTGAAGCAGCATCGGGCGGGGCAGGCCGGGCCGGGCCTGGGCCGGAGGGGACAGTCACTTCGTGGCGCTTCACTTTATTGGGTCAAATGTGGGGCTAGAGCTTGGAGGGGTGGGAGGCAGACGTCTGGAAAGAGGAGCTCATCCCTCCGCTTGAACATTGAACTGTGAATCCTTAAAGCTTCTGAGATTATGATCACTGGTTAATAGTTAAATTGGCCCGCATCTCTTCCAAGTTTAATATTATGCAGGATAACACTCAGCACTGACAAGGTTCATACGTGATGCTGAGACGTAAGGCGGTTGGTTGGTTAGTTTGTGAGATGCATGGATCTATGCAGTACGGCCAATTAAATAAGCCATGACTAAAACAAATTTGGCTAATGCCATCTCTGCCAGCGGGGAGTCTGCTTGTCTGAATCAGTGGTTTTCGAAAACTCAGATTCAAATTCCCATTGAGCCATGAAGTTCAATAGTGAATTTGGGCCACTTCTATCTCTCATCCTAACCTCCTGCGCACTGTTATTTTTATTGATTTTATTTATTTAAAAATATGTCTAGTCCACAAGTCTTGGTAGGTGCCAGCACCTGGCCAGCCTCACCTGGGCTGAGGAGCTAAGCCGGATTGGGTCTGGCTCTTGTGGAGTTGGAAAGACCTCAGTGCAGGGCCCACCGCAGCACCTCTGAGAGATGACCGTCCATCCTGTCTGAAGACCTCTTGTTCATCACGGGGCGGCTCTTTCCGCTGGGTGACAGCTTGGGCTGTAGATGTCTAGCCTGACCCTCTCCTTGGAATTTTAACCCACTGATTCCGCTCCTGCCCTCTGGGGCAATGGCGCATTGGCCCATTCCCTTTTCTATGAGACGGTTCTTTGGATACTTGAAGACTGCCGTTCTCTCCCTCCTTGTTTTTTTTTTTATAGGCTAAACATGTCCAGCTCCTTTTACCATTCCAAAGACAGCTTGGTTTCTAGGCCGCTCACCAGTTTGATACCCCTCCTCTGAACCCCCTCCAATCTGTCATGGTCTTTTTTGAATGGGGGCACCCAAAGCTGCACACAGGACTCCAAAGGGGGTCTGGCCAGGGCCGAAGAGAGTAAAACATTTATTCCCAGTCATCCTCGTCTCAAGGCTAAACGTTCCCGGCTCCTGTAATCGCTCCTCGCTGTCCTCTTGATCATCCTTGTTGCTCTTCTCTGAACTTCTTCCAATGTTCTTGAATCCTTCCTAACCGGGGCGCCCGGAGTTCAGCCCCGAACGCAAGGTGGGACCTGCCCAGTGCAGAATAAGAGGGCCTGTGGCTGCCCACGAGGTCCTTCTGTTTCTAGAGGGCAGCCTAAAAGGGCCTCTTCTTCGTTCGCAACGCCTTCGTAGGGCTGGCTCACATGGCTGGCTCTCAATTCGTATGCCACAGCCTTTTTCACAAATACTCTTATCTCCTTCTGTATTCACGCTTTTAATTTTCGTTTCCTGAATGAAGAATTTTAAATTTAATTTTCTTACTTTCAACCCATTTCTCCAGCCTATCTGGATTGTTTTGTATTTCTGTCTTCTAGGAAATTAGCTGTCCTGTGGGGGTAAAAG